TATGAGTTTGACTATTTTAGATTCCACATATAAGTGAGTATTTGTCTTTCTCTGTCTGCCTTATTTCACTTAGCATCATGTCTTCTAGGTCCATCCATGTTGTCAAAAATGGCAGGAATTCCTTCTTTTTTCAAGGTTGACTAATATTCCATTTCTTTATGCTTCATCCATCAGTGACATTTAGGTTAGTTTCGCATCTTGGCTATTGTGAATTAGCTGCAATGAACATTAGAGTGCAGGTATGTCTTTGAGACCCTGATTTCAATTCCTGTTGGTAGATACCAGAAATGGGATTGCTGGATCATATGCAAGTTTTAATTTTTGGAGGAAGCTCCATACTGTTTTCCATAATGGCTGTACTAGTTTACATTCCCACAAGGGTTCTTTTTCTCCACATCCTCATCAACATTTGCCATCTTTAGTTTTTTTGATAATCACTATCTTAACAGGTGTGAAGTGATAGCTCATTGTGGTTTTGATTTACATTCCCTGATTAGTGATGCCGAACACATTTTCATACATCTATTGGCCACTTGTATGTCCTCATTGGAAAAAATATATTCTGGTCTCTCTCCCATTTTTAAAATTGATTTGTCTTTTTGTTATTGAGCCGACAAAAAAAAAGAGAACAAAATTTCCAGGCATTATGGGTGCTTCCCAGTTGATGCAGATGGTTTTGTATTTACAGTGGTACCAAAAGATCATGTTTCGTGCTTTTTCTTCAGCTTGTTATAAGACCATCAGTAACTATGGCATGGCAGATAATTAGGATCCTCTTGGTTTGGAGGTTTACAACATAAATGAGTGGTAGGGAATTTTTTATTATTCCAAGGAAATTATTGAGATCATATTTCATGGAATCCAGGATTGATAGGTGTAGGAGGAAATTAAGGTGAGGATCAGTGATCTGGCATTACTTCTGAACTTGAGGGACAGGTATCTCCTGTATAAGTGTTTGAATAAAAATATTAGAGATCAGGAATTTGTGTGGGTGAATGTTTTCTGAATTATTTACTTTTAATATCACCATTTGGATTATGTGAACATCTGAGATATGGGAGTAAGTCGCTAAGAGGGGCTGGTTGATAATGTCACTATTGATTTAACTTCTAAAGGAGCTATGGACACCAAGTGGTCAATGGATTAAGCAAATGAGTAGTCAGAAAACACAGAAATGGTAAGATATTG